CCCTGTGGGTTACCTCAGGGGCAGGGATCAAACTTGCACTATGGCAGCTGCGGCTAACTTGCAGTGCCATTCAGTCGTTTTCATTACAGTAGATTTTACTCTCATCAAGGATCCAATCTAGAATTACACATTGCATTTACTTTTCCTGTCTTCTTTAATCTGGAAAAATCTTTGACCTCTCATTGTCTCTTAAAACCTTGACGTCCTTGAAGTGTATGGGTTGGCCATTTTGTACAATGTAGAGTTTGTGTTTGCTCTTCAAGGTTATTTTTTGAATATTTGTCAGTGTACCACAATTATTGAGAATGCCAACTTTCATCCTTGGTTAAAAGATGGACTACAAGTTCTTAAAAAGATTTATTTTTATTTATTTGTGCATATATGAACTGGGGTGTAGGCTAAAGGTGTGGGGTGTGCGGTAAGAGGGTTCACCAGAGACAGAATAGGGAGCAGATCAGGCAGATTTACTGAAATACACTGCTGAGGGGAGCAGCGGGTAGGACAGGAGAGGCCTACAGCATCATGTATGTCAGTTCCCTGGCCAGAGATCAAACTCAGGCCATAGTGGTTATAGTTCTGAGACTGATCTCCTAGGCCACCAGAGATGTTCCATACCAAAAAACTTTTTAAAAAAAAAAATTTATTTATTTATGTGTATAGAACTGGGGTATAGGTCAGAGGTTTGTGTGTGGAGGGTGGGGGCTGGTGAGAAGATTCACCAGAGGCAGAGCAGGGAGCAGAACAGGCAGATCGATGAAGCACACTGCTGAGGGGAGCAGCGGGCGGGTCAGGAGAGGTCTGCTGCGCTATGTGGGTCACCTCACTGGCTGGGGATAAAACTAGTGCTGCATAGTGCTGTGCTTAACCTGTTGAGCCACCAGGGAGGGCCCCCCAATTTTTTTTAATAGTTTACTTTTATATCATCTTGTACATTTTTCCTTCTCAGTTGTAATCCCCGTAGTCTTCCCAACACCAAATCACCCATGTATCATCACCATAGCCCAGTGCATTTCCCTCCCCCCATTGTTTTTGATCTCATTCCCCATTCTACCCCCATAAAATGTCTCTGGTCTATAGCTGTTCATTATTATTATTATATTCTTGCCTGGTCTGTTATACTCCTGCTATGAGTGAAACCATCTGGTATTTTTCCTTTTCTTTCTGGCTTATTTCACTAAGCATGGTCTTTTCCAGCTCCATCCATGTTGCTACAAACAGCATGTGTTTATTTATTTATTTTTTGATTGCTGAATAATATAATAATAATATTCCATTGTGTATATATACCACATCTCTTTTAATCCAGTCATCCACTTTTGGGCATTTGAATTGTTTCCATGTCTTTCCTATTGTAAATAAAGCAACAATAATTATGGGGGTACAGGTATCTTTTTAAATCAGTGTTTTTGTGTCTTTTAGGTAGATACCTAGTAGTGGGATTGCTGAGTCATATGGAAGCTCCATTCCAAAAACTTTAGAGGGACAATGAAGAGATTTTTTTTTAAATTTTATTTATTCATACAGAACTGAGGTACAGGCCAGAGATGCTGAGGGTGAGAGGGTTCACCAGAGACAGAGTAGGGAGCAGAACAGGCAGATCGACGAAGTACACTGCTGAGGGGAGCAGCGGGCGGGTCAGGAGAGGTCTGCTGCGCCATGTGGTCACCTCCGGGGCAGGCGGGAATCGAACTCATGCGGAAGTGGCTTCAGCTTCTTAGTTAGTGCTGTGCTTTAACCCGCTGCGCCACCAGGAAGGGCTAATGAACAGATTTTTTAATGAAATGTTGCTATGTGCTGAGGAGATATGGCAGTAGAGACCAGCCAGAATTCTATGAAAGCAAATTGCTAGATGGGCCCTCCCTGGTGGTTAAATCACAACACTAGGAAGCTAGCCATAGCCACTTCAGCATGGGTTCAATCCCCAGCCAGGAAGGTGACCCACACAGTGTAGCAGACCTCTCCTTTCTTGCCTGCTGTTCCCCTCAGCAGTGTACTTCATGCATCTGCCTGTTCTGGTCCCCATTCTGTCTCTGGTGATATTCTCACCACCCCTGCACCTCTGGCTTGTACCCTAGTTCTGTATGCATAAATAAATAAATCTTTAAAAATAAAAAGAAAGAAAATTGGTAAAGATATAATATACAAACACACCCTACAGGTGGAAAGAGTTTCTGATTAGGAATGCTAGGGTTTTAAGTGCTTGACCTGGGAAGTATGGGTGAACTGTGATTTGACAGGCTTGTACTAAAATCATTTTTTTTTTAAATTGACCATATGTTATAAGTAGAAATGTCATAAAACTTTAATATTTATTTATTTATTTAAAAAGATTTATCATGCATACAAGAACCAGGGCACCTGCCAGAGGTGTGGGGGTGAGAGGATCCACCTGAAACAGACAGGGAAGCAGAACAGGTAGATTGAAATACACTGCCAAAGGGAGCAGCGAGTGAGTTAGGAGAGGTCTGCATGCCATGTGCGTCACCTTGCGGGACTGGTTATGAACTCAAACTGCAGTGGCCGCGGATCACTTCACATTGTTGCGCTTTTACCTGTTGCGCCACCAGAGCGGGCCCTATTTTATATTTATATAACCTCACATTTCAGTGAAAAATGGATTAAAAAAAACAAAACAAAACAGATCAGGGCCTTCCCTGGTGGCGCAGCAGTTTAAAGTGCAGCACTGAGAATCCAAAGCCACTTCACCAGGAGTTCCATCCCTGCCCGGGAGGTGATCCGATCCACCTGGGCTTCAGACCTCTACTGACGACCAGCTGCTCTCCTCAGCAGTGTACTTGGTTGGTCAGCCTGTTCTGTTCCCTAGTCTGTGTCTGGTGAATCCTCTCGCGCCCCTGCACTTCTAGCCTGTACCCCAGTTCTGTATGCATAAATTTAGAAAAAAGTCAGAAAGAAATCATAGAGAGAAAAAAGACCAGTCCTGACTAATTAGAAAAGATAATGTGGGTAAATGATTTCATTTCACTACAATGTATTGTTGTGTCATGTAGGTTATTGGTTTATTTAGTGATTTAGGAATTTATATCAGAATGTTTGTCACAATGTAGATACAAAGAAAAAAGATGAAAAACTCTATCACTGGGGAAGGGAGGATTTCAGCTGCCTGGTTTGAAACATTTCAAGTGGAAGTAAGTGTAAGCATGATGCACTTCAGGAGGGCTCTGCAACAGTTAGCAAGGAAAGTGAGCTTTAAATGCTGTTTTTGCTGAAATATGTACAGGTTATAAATATTCGAGGAAACCCCACTCTATGTATTATCTTTAAAGACATTGCTATGAATATAATTTAATTTTCTAAGTTTCTTAAAGTTAGGATGTGACATGTCACAAGGTAGGAGGCACCCAACATTGAAGGCAATGCTTAGTTTTCCCAATCAATACATAGAAGTCAAAGCAGCATTCCGAAAGACACTGCTGGCAGTATTTAACATCTTCATTAGGGAACAAATAAGAAGCATGGGTACATGATGAGCCTGGAAAATGACCCTGAAAAACCTTTGTTATAGAAGGTGGAATAATCCCACAACTTGGACTAATCCTATAGTATGTCTAACCATTAAGAGGAGGTATACAGCTAATCAGGCAGCAAGAGTCAAGGCTGTGTATATATTTTTGTTTCTCTTTCCAAAGGGGTGGGAAGATACCACAATCTTCAGCATTCTCTCCAGAAACAGCAGAGAATGTAACCTACGCAGTAAGGGACTCAGGGTGTCCGCTGGACCTAAAACCACTCACCGCACTTTCTAGTACCTGGACTTCTACCATACCGACGGGATTCCCATACAGAAGTGCCTCTTTGGAGGTTGTAGCATTTATGGAGGGGGGCGGGGCGGAGATTGTTACACAGCAGAGAAAGGAGGCGGAGGTTGCGGCTTTGGGGTAGAGGTCGTCAGCCTCGGGAGGTTGTGGTCCCTGTCACCGGCTGAAAAGGGGTGGAGGTCCCTAACCTGGGAGGGCAGGGTCGCGTCCCGTTTTGAAGAAGAGTAATTGTTCGAAGGGCAAAGGATTTCGGGTCCCAGGTTATCTCCGTGTGAAAGGAAGTAGGAGGGTGTATCACGGGTGAAAGGGGATGGACGTCGATATCCCGGGGCTTGATGGGGGGAGAGCAAAGGTCCCTATTTTCTTTCGCGGGTTGAAGGCTGATAGAGGGTCACATGCAGGAGGAAGTGGCAGGGGTCGCGGATCCCGAGCGACTACGCCAATGCTTCTTATCGCTACCCACACTGTCTGATGCCAGGGCGTGGCTGCGTGTTTAGGAAGGGGCGTGACTTCATGCACGCCCAGACCAATCACAAGCGCCGCCAGAGAGGAGCGCGCGCGGAGAGGACTGGAGATACTAGGGCGGGCCGGGCCACTCGTGGGCCCAATCGCGGTGCCGCGCTGCAATGACGTAAAGCTCCCTCGGGCGCCCAGCGCCAGTCCGCAGGCCAGACGGTGATGCGCGGGCGCACGGGTGCGCGGGGCGGGACTTCCGCATAGTCCCGGAAGTGGGAGCTGTGTGTTCTCATGCGAACGGGAAGGAGCGTTGGGGCGCAGGAGTCTCGAGGTTGAGACATTTTCGGGCCCGAAAGGGGAAGGAGCCGCAGCCGCCGCCGCC